TGCTAGAAAAAGAATTAGCCAGCTGAATGTGTCCAATACTAGGCTTAGATCTTCTAAATGGTCATCCTATACTAAGCGTGAAGCAGAGCAAGCCAATTATTCTGCTGAAATCCAATTGCTCAAATCTGAGATTAAAACACTAAAAAGAAAAGCGACCCTCACCCAAAAAGTCTCATCTCTTGACAAGAGCGAAATTTTTTATCTTAAAGGTAAAATAAATGAACTGAAAACCAAAGTAGATGAATTGAAATCCGAGATGGAACTAGAATACACATCTCATGATTCAGATACCACTTCTTTTAGAGATAAAATAAGTGAATTAAATTCCTTTAATCATACATTGAAGCAAGAAAGAGATGATTTAAATTCAAAGAAACATGAATTGGAAGCTGAGGTGGGGTGTAAGGATTCTAAAATCATCTCTCTTGAAACTAAAGTAAACAAACTAGAGAAAGTAGCAGAAAAAGTATTATGTAGTTATGGGTTAATTAGCTGTCTCAGATCTAGGGTGAAGGAATTGGAAGATTAGTTAGAACAACAAATATCCCAATTATCTCACGAATTAAACATAATAGATAGAGCTAAAGAGGATCCAGACTCAGCTAAGTCTCTTCTTCAAGAAACTAATACCCATTTAGCAGAGCAGGTTTCGAAAGTATCCAGTGAGATTAATAAAGTGATTGGAGGCACACACTCTTTTTCTTTACATAACTCAAAGCTTGAACCTAATAAAAGCAAAGTTAAAGATATAGTGGAATCCCCGATAGAGCATGTTGATCAAAAATCAAAAGAGAAACTTGATAATATTCAAGCCTTACTTATTGTTACATTAGAGGTTGGTAATGCTTTAGTTAATAATCAGTATATAATTCTGCCTATATTCAAGCTTGTTATTTTATCCTTAGTGATAATATTAATTATATAGTATATATACAGGCAATTTTTTCACTTAATCAAAAAAAAAGAAATTTTTTATCCAGTTTATAGAAATCAAAGTTATAGTTTTCTGAATTGTCATGCAAAAGAACCAAAAGACAACTGGACTGCCTTCTATGAAACTTTACCTTATAGATATGAATGAGGCCACAAAGCATAAATCATCCTGAGCAGAAGAATATGAAGCATTGCCTGACTGGCCCTTCACTATGCTAATTACTAGAAGGACTGATACAGATAAGACCAATATATTAACAAATCTTGTTCTTGGAGATAAGAGTGGGCATATATACAAAAGATAGAAAGAAGAGCTCGATATATTAGATATAATGATTTGATAGTATGTGGTTATCATTTAGATAAACCAAAATAGGTATTTGTAAGATATATGTATGGTATAATTTCAAAAGATCCAAAAGCGCCATATTATGAAAATATTCAGTTTAGCTATATTTTTTTTGAAAGGATTCCAAATGTAAAATCATTCTTACCAGAAAAGAGTACTGTTATTATTTTTGAGAACTTGTGTATTGCCCCAAAGTATATACAAAATCAATTTATTCTTTTCTTTACTCATGGGCATCATAAAAACATCTTACCTATTTACATAATACAATATTATCATAAAGTCCCTATTATTATTCGTGAAAACATCTCCTATCTAGTAATGTTTAATGGAGATGTTAGCCATCAAGATGTGTCCAAGATAGCTAGTTGTTATACTGATAATATAAAAAATGCATCGATGGTCATTAATAGCTACCTTCAAAAAGATGAATTTATTGTATTTGATCTAGATAGACCCAAGAATGATCCTCTTGCAATTCGACACTCTATTAAACCTGCAGAAAGAAATAAAGATAAGGCAAAAGCACAAAGAAAAAAGTATTCAAGCTAATTCATAATACTTTAGTCTTGCAAGCTAAAAGATGCAGAAATTGATTACCTTTGATACATCTATAACTGATAGTAGTTTGCACACAATGAATCCTATTAACTATCTATTGTGAGAAGGCAGGATTTTTAGTTCACATCGGTATCTAAATCGCAACATCATGTAATTACTGCGCTCTGGTAATATAGTGTCTTCTCTCGGCAAATTTACCATTTTTCTAATGCTATTCTTGAGATTACAATTAAGTAATATATTTTTTATATTAGTATTTATTTATCTAATTCTTAACATAGGTAAAAGGTGCCAATATAAATAAAAATCTATGAAGTGTATATTAACAATTACTTACATTTTTTTTGTTTTTGGCTACATACAAATTTGAATCACAATATTTCTTAATATAAGTTGATAAAGAATCACTATAAATCGCTAAAAATGCTATAAATCATTAAAACACTAAAACAATAAATTATTAATAAATATATCTAGTCAAACTTCTAAAATCATTATAGATAAGGTTTTTAATAAATCGGTACTTAAACCCATTAATCTTTGTCCAGGATATAATTTGGAATATGTCAAAAAATATTATGTGGAATGTGGTAGTTATAACTATAATCATATCGAAAATATGTACAAACTAAAAAAAAGATACGATGATTTAGCTATTATTAGACTTTGTGAAACACCTCAACAGTGGGCTATTTATATAAAAGATGATTTGAAAGAGTTACTTTCTAAAGAAAGATCTAGCATTTATCATATATATTGTCTTTTCGCTTCTTTTAAAGAAGGAAGTATTAGAACTTATCTTGAAAACCATAGACCAAGAGTTGAACATATTAGCTATAGAAGATCTAAAGTTCATAAAAGTTAAATAGCTCTATGCTTCAAATGCTAGCAATTGGTAAAGATTACTAAAGTAGAGCCAAAAAAGATATATTGGAATGGATAGTGTAGATGGGGCTATGAAGTTAAATCTGAGAATTTGATGCAATATTATTGAAATAATAAATGCTTCAAAATGCAAGATAGAAGTATATGGGTTATCCAAAAAGCTTATCAAGATATTGTGCCAATCAAGTCTATGAAAATTAAAAGCTTTACACCTAGTTTAATTAATGAGCCACATTCATTAACTCCTCCGCCATTACTACCAAAGCCTTTTGTATTAATAGGTGATCTCTCAAAATACTTTTGTAAACATAGTATAAGTGTACTCGAGATTAAAAATCTTTAGAATGATCAATTAAATATGCCTAATATTTCTAGCAGGACTAGTTTGGGCCATGTTGCTAATATATATTTTAATTCTGTGTGAAAAAATACAAAGGAAATAGACTTAATATCCTTTGATTAAATAATAGCATAAATTTATTTATCTTTATAACCTATTCATATATAATTATTATTGGGTTATATATTCAATTTTTTTTAATAGTTGTTCACTGTTTTCCTAATACTATTTTTGAGATCACAATACTACAGTATCTTGTAATTTTATCATTTGAAGCCAGTTGTTATAATTAATTAAGAGACAAAATTTATATTTTATGTGAACAGAATAAGTTTACTTTGTTTATTTTTTTGTAAACTAAATAACCACTCAAGCCAAAGTACTGAGCCATCAGCAATAATGATTATGCCCTTTCGAATACATAATATACAAAGTCAGAGACCCTATCGTCAAGAGGTGAAGACTTAAGCAAAATTTTTTGCATAACTAAATATACCCGTAACAAGTAACCTAGTGGTCGATCTATCAACACAATATAATTTTGCACAAGAAAATAATAATGAAATATTTACCCAATCTGCCTTTTGCTTATTATTAATTGGTATTGATTTCTTCACCATAAAATTTAGATTAATGTTGTAGATTTTTATGTACATGAAGGGTTTCGAGATAGATATATTCAAACTATTTCTTATCTCGTAGTTCAGTAGATGAAACCGTGGAAAGCTCATAGGGTCTTTTTCTCCTCGCTATGTAGACAATAATAGTCTAACAATCACGTTCTCTAAATAGTGTTTTATAATAATATAATGGAAAATAAATATATGGAGTCAGAGGCCCTATCATTTAGAATTATAGATGAAATTTTTTGCGTAACTATCAGAAAGAAGTATAATATCAAAAAAGCGAGGTGGATATATTTATATCATTTACATGGTGTAGTCTAGTAGTTTAAAACCCAGAAAGTCTGTTAAACCTTCCTTCCCTTGCATATGCCCCATGTAGAAGAATAATGATCACGCCCTCAATAGCAAAATAAAAAGTAAGAATATAAAATTTAGAGAAATAATAGTCAGATCCTGGGCCTGCTATAGAAGGCAATGACTGCACTTAAAAAGACTATAATATTAAAGGTAGAATATGTATTATCAGAAAAATATAATAGCATTAAAAATTGGAAATTAGATCTATTTTATATGTATGTGGCTATAATAAATAATAAGTTATCTAATAATTATTTGTATTTGGTACTATGTCAATTCGACACAAAATTGCTCTAAAATAATCCAGATCTTTGAATTTAAAATATCTATACCGATACATTATTATTATTCTGTTTTGGAGCTATTTCTCTATTTTTTGGTTGGTTTGTATAGTGCAAGGTGGAATTATCAAAAAATTGGGTTTTATACATACATGCGTGTGACTATATCATCACACCATATCCAGATATAAATAACAGCTATCTGGTAATTAATTATATTTGGCACTATGATAATTCGACATGAAATTGCTATATTTGACACCGTAATCATTCAACAGCACTTTCGAGACCTACAAATTTAGAATAAATGTTTTATAAAAAACTATGCAGGGGTAGTTCCACAATTGACATGTATTTAATTCAGATTCATGGGACTGGTTTATCTAAAAAAGAATGTAATTAATAGCGCATTATTTTAGACTATGAGCTTCAAATTATCTATAAATATATATGTGCTATTTTAGCCAAGAGGTAGTGGCTTAACAAAAAGCCATAAATATTTGTACATCCCAACCGATTAGATTGTTCAGTCACAAGTATTATGCGGGATGCTCGATCAACATGCATCACGATTTTTAGAACTAAAATTTGATATATTTAGCAGGTTTGTTTTCATAAATACATATGTGCGCTATTTTAATGCAACCACATTCTATGTATCAACTGTTGATACATATAAATTTATTTCTGTAATAAGAGCAAAATTTAGAATTTTAAATTTCTGAATATTTCTAATTACCTATGTATTAAACCATGACTTTCCATGATCGTTCCGTGCATTTCATAATGGCACATATAAATTTAATAAAAATTTTCTGTGATCATTCCGTGATGGTTTGCCTAATTATAGAGATTAAGACGGCTCGCATTAAATTTTATTCAGTGTTACCTTCATGCAGAATTAATTCTCATAGTTGATTTTTTTTTATTAATGAATATTACAAATAATGCGAATAATGTCTAGACCCTTTTCTTTACTTTATACGAACTCACGATAAGAATGAGACTTAAAAAGGCAATGAGTATAATATTCTTTATCAGTAGTTTTGTTAAAATTCATATGTTATAGGGATTTTGAATTCTCAGATCTTGGAAGATTTAACCCTACTTTTTATTTACAAGAGCGATCGTTGAATCTAAGAGGTTGAAGTTGGGTTAAACTCTGATTAAAGTTGGGTTGAAGTTGAGTTGAAGTCTGCACTTCAGAAAATAAACACTCATCATCTGCATTTTTTTCTCATATTTATTAGATAAAAAAAAGCTATTAGAGCAAGTAAGCTAGATAGGTTATTATCTGCAGATTGATAAATAAAAATGAAAAATGCAATGCCTGGTTGAACTCTGGTTGAACTATAGCTGATGTATAGATAACCTCAAGGGTATCATATGATTTGACAGTTCCATGGGTCTGCACATATAATTTATGCATAAATTCTGTATTCCTGACAGCTTCTAGAAGCTGTTGGAGTATAAACTGATTTTAATATTTTTATATTTTTATAATGATAACGATAGTGACGTCACGTCACTTGATATTCAGGTTTATGAGTGATAAAATCTTGATGGCTTTAATAATCAATGGCCTGCATTAAATTTTATGCAGTGTCACTCTCCTGCAGAATCTTTCTCATAGTTGATTTTTTTTAATAATGTTAAATAATATTTAGAACCTTCTTATTATAATACCATAATAAGACAAGCACAAATAAGATTTAAAAATGCTATAAGGAGAAAGAGTATAATATTTTTTATCAGTAGTTTTATCCAAATTCATATATTATGGGGACTTGAAATTTTCTAGATCGCTGGAATTATTGACTTTTTCACTTCGTAGTAGCGATCGTTGAATCTAAGGGGGTTTAATTTCACCAGAAAAGTGACAAAATAGATTCAGTATTTGGAACTTATGACCGAATAGACTTGCTTTTCATGGTAGGATCTAGATTGCATTACTCTACCACAATTACTAATTGTGTAACTTTTTTTCTGCCAGGTTTTTTAGATCTAGCGAATAGACGGTATAAATAAGCAAGTTTCCACCTTAAGATAAGTTAGCAATAATATTATTTTTTGCTCATATATTTTGAAAAAAAAACTAGTTTACTATAGTTGCAATTTATTTTCAAGATATACATATATTCGATCCAAAATATATTGAAAATCTTTGTACAAGACTTCCCATTCATAGCCGGTTCAGCCCAAATCTTTGCCCTATCATATTTTGAACTAGAAGGTTATTTTTAGTCAATAGGTGCATTTCATGTTGCTATATTTGTATTAAGAAAATTCAGAATAAGTGTCTCCACGATCATATAAGAAATACTTTTGAAGGAAAAGAGTCTCTGCACATGAACTTGAAGAGTATGATTTAGAAAAATTAACTATTTTTTCTATAGATAGTTTTTCAACTACTCCCTTTCATAATATAAGTAAATGCAGGCATATACAAGATTCTATCACTTTAAAAAGTTGGATGGATTTAACTAAAGGAAAAAAATACCAAATTAAAAAGTATTGTAGGACCTCAAGATGCTCCTTGTGTGGCTTATATCATGAAACTAACCTAACTATAGTTTTTTCATTATGGTAGAATGCTATTTTGTATCTCTTTGCGAACAATGTAATAATAATAAAAACTCTAATTTATGCCCCAAATATAGAAAGCCACTATCTGAAAACATTGATTCCAATTTCAGAAAAAAAAATCCTCTAAAAATTGTTAACCAAAAAATAAATATAATTTCTTTATTTGTATATTGTCATTCTAGCAAAAAAATATTAAATAAAGAAGGGCTCTCACTGAGCTCCTAATCTTTTATTTTTACGTGATTTTGATATCTATTACCTTTACTTATTATAAATTACCTATTGTTTATGCTATTATATTGATTCCTCCTGTATAATTAAATCTGCATCCAATATTATAGAACCCTCTCACAAACTGGCCTATGATATTCTCTTTATGGTTTTGCTTACATGATGGACATAATGAAGTATTGCATTGATATATATCATCAGAATCAGTACTGTGACTCAAAGATATACCAGGATTTTGTTCCAATACCTTGCTGATAAAGTCTTTTCATTTTTCTTTTAGATTTTCTTTTTTTCACATTTACTATAGAGATTCCACTAAAAGTTCTTTTACAACAATAGAGATGATAAGTTTTTTTTCTATAATAATTACCATCACCCTACTGACCTTCCATACCATCTCCTTTATGCTCTTTATTACATGCAGGACATATTCTTGAATAATCATAATAATCACTATATTTATTGCTATGCTTAAGAGATAAATTATCGAATTGCTTCAATGTGGTATAAATAACAAGATTTTGTTTTTCTTTTGGATCATCAGGTAAGATAGAGATTGGAAAATGAGAATTGAGAGATGCATTTTTGTTTATAGGTAATATGCGTACCTCTGTTTCATTTTTGCTATCTTTGATTTGAGAGGATCCAGAAGAATCAATGTATTGCCAAAGATCTTCTCCAGTCTCTTCTTTATATCTTTTATATAGTCTAGAATGATTTTTTTTATCTATTAAAATAGTCAGTAAAGTTATACCAATTAAGATAGTCATCAGTTAGTATTTTCTTATTAGAGGTAGAAGCCATATTATCATATAAAAAATATATGTTAATTCAAAATCATGTAATGAGTGTTAGGAAAAAATAAATCTTTTAAAAAGCAAATAATTTTAATTTTTTATATTATTGTGCTTTATGCCATTAC